GGTGGGCTGTGCACTCAATGAGTCCTCTGGGTGGTGAGAGGGCCCAAGCTGGTATTACTGAGCTGTGCCTGGCTCCCTCTCCTCTGCAGCCTTGTTGAAATGTTCCCCACTGCTGTTTGGAAGAACTGCAGGAAGCCCAGGCATTGATTCTTCAGCCACCTCCACTAAGTGCTCAATAAATATTGATTATCTCAGTGAATCAGTCCCGGAAGCAGGAATATGGCTCTGCCGGCCTCTGTGTGCTCACTAGTGCCTGGCACCTTGTTGGCTTTCAATCAACAGAGAACCCCACCCATTTGGCACTCCCAGCACTAGGGTAGGGTGTGTGGGTGGAGAGCTGGGAAGAAGGACCCTGAAGGCAGAAGGGGGAGGCTAGCCCATGGGCCCTAAAGGAGAAGAGGGGACACAGCTCCAGCAACTTCTCTTGCCATCCACCTTTAGCTTACAGTGGATTCTGATGTGAAGACACTTCTGGACTGCCAATCCCTGGTTCTCAAGCCATCCCAACCTCCCTTCTCTCTACACAGTCCTGCCTCTTCTTTCTTGGCTCCTATTTTGCTCCCTTTGGGAGAGCAGTGGGGGCGTGTGGGGGAAGTTCGTTGGGCCAGAAATTTGAAATGTGGGACGCAAACAAGATTTATTAGATATTTGTGTTTCCCCAGAATTGTCCTCTGCACATGATCTCAGCCTAGGCTTGGAATACAGAAGGCTGACAAAGGGACCCACATTCCAGGTGGCAGGCAAATCTTCCAGCTTTCCTCTGTGTGTCTCTATACATAAAACGCATGTACGTGCATTTATAATCAGAAATGAGAATGTATTTTACCTACTCCTCCCATTATCCCCTGTAACAGATTGGCACTTTATTTAACAATCATAGTTCCCTCTTAACAACAAAAAACAGGGTTGGGGCGCCTGGGTGGCTTAGTAGGTTGAGCGTCCGACTTTTGCTTAGGTCATGACCTCACGGTTCGTGGGTTCGAGCTCCGCATTGGGCTCTGTGCTGACTGCCAGCTCAGAGCCTGGAGCCTTTTTCGGAGTCTGTGTCTCCCTCTCTCTCTGACCCTCCCCTGTTCACGCTGTCTATCTCTCTCTCTCCTAGAAATAAATTAAAAAAATTAAAAAAAACAAAACAAAAAAAACCACAGGGTTAATGGAAGGAGGTGGGTGGGGCATTGACTAAATGGATGATAGATACTAAGAAGGACACTTAATGATGAGCACTGGATGTGGTATGTAAGTGATGAATCACTGAATTCTACTCCTGAAACTAATAAGGTACTGTATGCTAACTAGAATATAAATAGAAATGTGAAGAAATGAATAAAAAATGCATCAATAAATCTAATGGAAAAACAAAAAAACAACAAAAACAATCACAATTCTTATTAACGAAATTAACAATAATTGCTTCATACCATCTAACACTCCATCAATCCAAGTGCAACTTTCCTAATTATCTAAAAGAAATGTAACTTTTTCATGTCATTTTCTTGAACCAGGATCCAAACACATGTGGTTAATATGTCTCAAGCTTCTTCTTTTTTTTTTTTAAGATTTATTTATTTTGGGGAGCATGCAAGCGGGGTGGGGGGCAGAGAGAGAGGGACAGAGGATCCAAAGCACGCTCTGCACTGACGGGCTGATAGCAGCAAGCCCAAAGTGGGGCTCAAACTCATGAACCCACCGTGAGATCATGACCTGAGCCAAAGTAGGTCACCCAACTGACTGAGCCACCCAGGTGTCTCCTTAAGTTTCTTTTAATCTATTATAGGCCCCCTCTGTTTTGTTTAAATGTCACTATTTTTTTTTTTTTACAAATAGTTTATTGTCAAATTAGTTTCCACATAACACTCAGTGCTCATCCCCAAAGTGCCCTCCTCCATGCCCACCCCCCCTCCCCCCCACATCCATCAGTCCTCAGTTTTTGTCAGCATTCAAGAGTCTCTCATGGTTTGCCTCTCTCCCTTTCCCCCACCATTTCCGCCCTTCTTCTCCCCCTTGTTCCTCCGTCAAGTTCCTCCTAATCCTCCTATACGTGCAAACATATGGTATTTGTCCTTCTCTGCCTGACTTATTTCGCTCAGCATAACACCCTCAAGGTCCATCCATGTTGCTACACATGGCCAGATTTCATTCTTTCTCATTGCCATGTAGTATTCCATGGTATAGATAAACCACATCTTCTTGATCCATTCGTCTGTTGATGGACACTTAGGCTCTTTCCATGTTTTAGCTATTGTGGAGAGTGCTGCTATGAACATTGGGGTACATGTGCTCCTATGCCTCAGCATTTCTGTATCCCTTGGGTAAATTCCTAGCAGTGCTATTGCTGGGTCATAGGGGAGTTCTATTGTTAGTTTCCTGAGGAACCTCCACACTGTTTTCCAGAGGGGCTGTACCAGTTTACATTCCCACCAACAGTGTAGGAGGGTGCCCGTTTCTCCACATCCTCGCCAGCATCTAGAGTTCTCTGATTTGCTCTAAATGTCACTATTTTTAAAAATGTTTATTTTGAGAGAGAGTGTGTGCGTGTGTGGAGCAGAGGAGAGGCAGAGAAAGAGGAGAGAGAGAATCCCAAACAGCTTCCATGCTGTCAGTGCATTGTTTTTATTTAATAGATTGTTAAATTACTTTTTATGTCAATAATTACACACATCGTTATTTTTAATCACCATATCCCATTGCATGGGTGTATTGTCACTTCAAGCAAATCACAATATTTTAGGTGTTTTATAGTCTACAGGGCTTGTGGCTTACAATAAAAGTTGCAATGATTACATTGTGCATGTGTTGCTTTCTAGAGTTATGTTTTAAAGTGAAAATAGCTGGGTTAAAAGGTATACACATTTTATTCTTTATTGTTTTTAATGTTTATTTATTTTTGAGAGAGACCGAGCGTGAGCAGGGGAAGGGCAGAGAGAGAAGGAGGCATAGAATCCGAAGCAGCTCCAGGCTCTGAGCTGTCTGCATAAAGCCTGATGTGGGGCTCGAACTCACAAACCATGAGATCATGACCTGAGCCAAAGTCAGACGCTTAACCAACTGGGCCACCCCGGCACCCCAAGGGTATATACATTTTAAAGGTGACATGGTTAGACTGGAAAACAAAATACTGTTGAAACGACCTAAAAAAAATCTGAGATTGGGGTGCCCCAGGCCACGTACAATGTGAGAAGACTCTGAGGTCTAGGGGAGAAATCAGGGGCTGTTGAGGATGGGGCCAAGAAGCCACTGGCTCTCTGGCTTTAGGCCAGTCTTGGGAAAGCTGGAGGCGTGGACCTCACCATCTATAAATTTGGATGGGTCACCACCTCTTCATGCCTCAGTTTCTTTTTTAAGAATACTCAGTGGTCCCTTCTAGCTCTATTCTAAGAATACACAGTGGGACTACTGTGAGGATGACAAGAAATAGCTCCTGTAAAAGGCTGGCAGAGAATTCATAGGGAACTGTGGCTGGGTTACTATGGAACAGTGGAAGACTCTCTTCCCCCATGCCAAACCTCAGTGCCAGGGGACTCTGGGTATTATTCACCAAACTTTACTAAGTCACCAGGAGCAAGTGAGGGTGGTGTGTGTAGAATGTTCCTCTTTGGCTCTGGCCCCTCTTAAGTTGATCCTAATCCACATGGCATAGGATAAACTGGAATAGTGATTAAGATGCAAATTTTGGATTCTCAGACCCCAAGAAATTGACAATTTGTAGGACTCTTAAGGACTCTTGTCTTCTGAATGAGTGATTTAAAAATCATCATATTGCTATTTTAATCTCTTGTCACTATGTACATAATATTGTGCTTATATAGCTTAACAATACAGATTTTCAAGGATGCTTATATATTTGCGCCGTGCTTCCAAGAACACTGAAGTGAATCACTCACTTCATGGGGTGGGATGGGATGGGACTGACATCATTAATAGTATCAAAGGTTGAGATTCTCAGATATTTCTGAAAAAACTTGTTAGCAGTAAACAGAAAGAGGACAACACATGACTGAGAAAGAGTAAATGAGGAAAAAGCTAAGAGGCAAAGGAATTAGTAATCCTGGGCAGGGTGAAGAAAGTGACTCAGCTATGGCCTTTGGAGTTTGGGGCTGCTTGTTGTGAAGAACAGCTGGGCTTTTGGCACAGCACAGAGACAGACAGACTTTAACCAGAGCTTCCCGGAGTCAAACAGACTTGGCTTCTCCTGGTGCCATGTATACAATTCCCACATCTCACTGCACACCCAGCAGAGCTAGAACCTGAGGAATACCATTGCCCTGTTCACTGTCCCTTGAAGCCATGCTGCCTTCTCTAAGAATAGGGTTCCAGAGAGAATAATGTTTCCAAGGGAAAGCCAGACATTGTTGGGGTGTTTGGCTGGGGGTGGGGAGAGTTCTGACTTCCAATATATGTCTTGTCATGAGCCTGCTTGAAGGAAAAGCTCCCAAGCATTTGGAAGATGTGGTAAAGGAAGAGGTTCGTGGGGTATTTAGATGTCATAACTTCCATACAGTAAAAAAGCAGTAGGTAGGTACAGGTTAGGCTACTCCATCTCTTTATGACCTTAAATTCTTCAAGCCTCAGGTTCTTCATCGTTTAAGCAAGAAAAATAATATCTAGTTCAAGGTTGTCATAGAAACAGAATGAAGCGATTTTGAAGTCTTTTTTTTTTAAGAGTAGAATTGGGGAGGAGAAGGGAACAAAATAGTTGGGGAGAGAGAGGGTGGCAAACGATGAGAGACTCTTGAATACTGAGAACTAACTGAGGGCTGATGGGGGTGGGGAAGAGGGGAAGACGGGTGATGGGCATGGAGGAGGGCACTTGTGGGGATGAGCACTGGGTGGTATATGGAAACCAACTTGACAATATACTATGAAAGAAAAAAACAAGAGTAGAATTAATGTTTTATTGTCACTTATAATCAGATGGCAGTTGGGATATATAGTCTTTATGTAAATAAAAAAATTACAAGTTTTAAACAGCCAATGACTTGTTAGGTTTTCAGAAAACATAGTTAGATTAATTCATTAATGATGACTTCAAGTTTTTCCTTATCAGCTCCAGAAAATTCACTCACCTTTTGTCCCTTTTTAAAAAAACTAAGAGAAGGGTCCCTGGGTGGCTCAGTGGGTTAAGCGACCAACTCTTGGTTTCGGCTCAGGTCATGATCTCATGGTTTGAGTTCAAGCCCTTAGTTGGGCTCTGCACTGGTAGTGGGGAGCCTGCTTGTGATTCTCTCTCTCTTTCTCTTTCTCTCTCTGACCCTCCCCTACTCACACTCTCTCTCACTCTCTTTCAAAATAAATAAGGATTAAAAGAACAAAATTGGAAGATTCTCATGCATTTGGCTTCATGCTCTGAAGCAACATCCTGACAGTCATAGACATTTACCTCAAGGAGCACCACATTGGAATACTTCTCAGAAAGGAAATGAAAAAAATGCTTGATCATTTTGCAAGGTCCACACCACGTGGCTGAGAAGTCGACTACTACGAGTTTATCTCCTGCACTGTTCAAGGCTTCCTGAAAAGTATACCTCCTCTCAATCTGCTTCACCGTTTTGGTGGCTGCGGTCTGATAAGCAATCTTAAGGACAGATGAAAATGGATCGAAACCGCCAGACAGAGCTTTTGAGTTTGAAGTCTTCAGCTTGGTGAATGGCACCATCATTGTGCTTAATAAGCCCTTTTGCCCCTGCGCCTCCCTCACCAAACCTTATCTCTTCGTGAGGCAAACGAGCAGGGTGGCTGATCCCCATGAATTTTCTAGGTCTGAGCTTGGAGTCTACAAAGGTGCTTGGAAGTATGTGAGAAGTTCCCATTGGCAGAAAAGGCCTCAGCCTGGCTGAGCTCAGCTCAGCTCTTCCATAAACCTGCCAGGACAAGGGCACTGGAACCAGACCCGGAAGCCCGACAGAGAGCAGGATCGGGAACCAGGTAACTGCACTCAGGAGCTGCCTCTTACCTGCCTGTCCTGCTCTGCCCCTGAGACCACCCAGAGGAGGCCCTGCACCCAGAAGCCCTGAGCAATTGGTCCAGTGGGACAGGGCTTCCAGAGGCATAGAGGTATCCCTCACTGGCTAGCATACCCAGAAGGATCTCTGGAAATGTCCGCAGCCTGAGAAGCAGCCAGACCTCACTCTCCAGTCCCAGCCACTGCCATTCTGCCCATCAGCCTGAGATGACCCCAGAGTGGCCAGGAGTCCTTGGCATGACTCATTGTGTAGAAGAGGAAGTCAAGTCCCAAAGACACAGGAGGGGCATGTCGGGAGACTGCAGCAAGAGGGAGGCTCATTTGAGCCTTGAGTTCCCAGCCCTGAAGACCCATGAGACAGCCTGGAGTCCAAATAAGATGGGGACCAGCTGCCCACTCTGGACTTTTTTGACCCTAAGAGGGAGTGTGGGGGTCCCTGTGGTGTGGTAAGAGCAACACTGAATCCAGGAGGCTCGGGTAGCTCAGTCAGTTAAGTGTCTGACTTGGTTCAGGTCATGATCTCACAGTTCATGGGTTCAAGCCCTAGGTTGGCTCTGTGCTGACAGCTCAGGGCCTGGAGCCTACTTCACATTCTGGATTTCCCTCTCTCTCTCTGCACCTTCCCTGTTTGTGCTCTCTCTCTCTCTCTCTCTCTCTCTCTCTCTCTCTCTCAAAAATAAGAGATAAACATTAAAAAAAAAAAAAAAAAAGAACAACACTGAATCCAAGACAGAGTCCTTCGTTTTGGGACCAGCACATCGCCTCCAATTAATTTTAGGAGAGCTATTTAATTTGCATGTGTTCTTGGGCATCTGTAGTGAGGTCAGTAAAGCCTCTCTCAGGAACATTATCATTTATGCAATAGAACAGTAAGCTGCTGTGAAAAAGAATGGGAGAATAATCATAACAGCTAATGCCAAAGGGCTTACTGTGGGTCAGACACTTCTGAGAATGCCAGATGTCTTCACTCATATCACCCTCAAATAACCCTATGGATTAATATCATCCCCCCACATTTTAAAAAAATTTTAATGTTTATTTTTGAGAGAGAGAGACAGATGTAAATGGGGGAGGGGCAGACAGAGAGGGAGACACAGAAACCCAAGCAGGCTCCAAGCTCCAAGCTGTCAGCACAGAGCCCCATGTGGGGCCTGAGGCCACGAACTGAGATCATGACCTGAGTTGAAGTCGGACGCCCAATTGACTGAGCCACCCAAGCACAATTCCCCCTAATTTAAAGCCAAGAAAAAGGAGGTACAAAGTTAAATAATTTATCCCATTCACTCCCACCACATACATACATATGTTTGAATATGTATGGGAAAAATGTCTATAAGGATGGATAAAAAACTGTTAATGGCAGCTACCTCTTGAGGTTTTATATTATTTGAGGGGAAGGTAACAGGAGGAATTTCTTTCTAAAAACCATATAGGTTTCTTTATTGATTGACTGTTTTTAAACCAGGATCATGTAATACTTTTGGGGTTTAAGAAAATGAATAAGGGAATCACTACTCACTGGCTTTCAGGTTTGACTGCAGAAGAGCGTAAGTGATGGCATGTGCTCCTGAGTCAGGAGACACTCTTCATTCCCAGAAGGCCTTTGGTAGCAGCCAGTTCCCAGAAGCAGGGGGAAGGAGGGAGCCACCCACTCTCGAACCATTACAACCCCACCCCAGACCCCCAGAAGACCCCTGGGCTGGCCTGGGCCATGTGGTCTGTTACGTCACCAAGGGTCATTCAAGGGGCCTCAAGGACTGTAGGGTGGATCCAATAGTTGGGAGCAGTCAGCTGTTCGCATGTTTCAGCCATGAGGCTGCACCCTTGTTCTACTTCTTAGTCTTTTTAATCAATCATCTTCTTTGTCTTATGACAGCAGAATGCCTGCCAACAGCGCGGCCAGTTCTTGGCGCCTCCAACTAGTCTCTACATCTTGCATCTTTTGGTCTTAGCCATGTTGCCATGTTTTGTGGACTTGACTGCACTGAATTTTGTTTTTGTTTTTATTTTTTAATTTTTATTATTTTTTATTTATTTATTTTGTACATTAAAAAAATTTTCTTTTTTGAGAGAGACAGCACAAGCAGAGGAGGGGCAGAGAGAGAGGGAGACTCAGAATCTGAAGCAGGCTCCAGGCTCTGAGCTGTCAGCACACAACCCAATAGGGGACTCAAACTCATGAACCGTGAGATCATGCCCTGAGCCAAAGGCTGATGCCTAACCAACTGAGCCACCCAGGTGCCCTGTGAGTTTTGTTTTTGAATAAATGAGCTTCTGCTGTCAGAGGAACTAAGCAGGTACTCATTATGGCTGTGATTATGGTGTGTTTGCCTTCATCATCCCTCCAACCCATTTTGGTTGCTTTCTTTTTTTGCTTCCTTCCCCCTATATGCGATTTCTGTGGAGGACTTTGTGTTTTCTAGATCCTTGAAAATTAGATCAGAAGGGAACATCACCTCATCTTTCTAGTTTTTCAAACTGGTTTTTACTATAATAAGCTTTAGTGGAATATTTTTATCCTTTCTATTACCAGTTTAATATTTTAATCTTGCTTCAGAGAAATATGAGTTTAAGTTTCCTCCCCAGCTTTACTAACCCTTTGATATTATGTGATTGTCTAGAAAACCCTATGAACCTCAGTATTCACTTGCATAGTCATTCTCAGGTTATCAAAGCTGATACACCATTTATTTAGACCCCATGCCATTAGACGTGGCCTCGGTGTTTCAAATCACTTCTGTGCTCATGTCCCCACAGTCATTATCAATTACTTCTATAGCCCATGGCCTCTGCTGTTGAATTCCTTCAGGGTTTCCATTCCTTGAAATATGCTCCTCAAGTGTCAAAACCAACTGGGATCTTTATATTATGTTGCTAGTTCCTTTTCCTTCATGTTGTAGGGCTTTTCTTTCAGGCTCTTCTCTTCCCAGGCTTGAAAAGTGAGGCTCAAAAAAATATTATTCTAGCATCTTAAAACATCTCTTCACAGGACTCCCCCTAACCAAGTACTGCACCCAGGTTTATATGATCATACCTGATCTCATCGCAGAATTTACAGAGTTGGCAAGTAGTCGTGCAGGGAAATGTTACAGAGGATTGTGTGGCTCTCTGAGCTTTACAAACATTATCTCATCTTACTCATCTTCCTCATTCAGCAGGAAATTGAGGCCCAATGCAGGGATGGAACGTGAAATGGAGATAACTGGTACATGGGGGTTGAGCTCCAATGACCATTCCCTCAACCACAGTGATGCTGCATTTTCTTTGTGATATTCTTGATCACAGAGTTGCCCTTGTACCATGTTATTGTCTCTGTTTAGCTGCTAGGTTCATGGTGGGGGCAGGGGTGGTTTGCATTATGATCAACTCATTGTTTAATTTGGCTCTATTTAGGCTCTCTATGCTAGTATTCTTGGCGTTGATGATTATTTGCTCTCCTCTATAATGGAGATTTAACTCAGCTGAAAAATAAAATGTCCCCGCCTTAACTCAATCCCCATTTTCATAGAACCCTACATTGTTAAAAATTTGGTGTATGTCCTTGCAGATATACTCCAAACACTAGACATACACTGTATCTATATATTTATATCTACATAGATATAATTGTACAAAAATGGGGTCATATCCTGGTTACATATATTTCCATGAGAGTACATGTAGACCATATTCATTCTTTTAAACGCTAATACTATTCCATTGTATGGATGTACCATATATCATCATATATCTTTTATCATTATCCTGTAGGTGGGTGTGTAGGTTTCCACAATATGTTGCCATTATAAATACAGTGAATTTAAATGTACATATATCTTTCCACATAAATAATAAAATATTTCTGTAGGATTATTAGAAGTAGAATTTCTATGCTGAAGGATATTAAAGCAATTTTCAAGGATCACATATATGCTCCCTTTAGGAGGCAAAAATATATTCCTCTTTTCATTCTTCCAGAATAAATGCTATCTAATCAATTGGATATTTGTAATTCTTCGGCCTTTCTGCCACTGTTTCTTCCTCTTAGGTTCCTTTTAACCACGTTTTCTTTTTTGGTGGTGAAACTCTGATTTTTTCCCCACAATTTTCCAAGCATTCATTCTATGCCAGCCCATTCATGGAAGTGGCTAAGACAGATATGGAGTTGACATTTAATTGAAGGTGATGACTGGAAAGAAAAAGATGATAAATATGACCCTTGCAGACTGAGATGTTATAGAAAGTCAAATAAACAGGATGATGTGTTAAAGGATGTTACAGTTTTCTATTGCTGCCCAAAAAGACTAACACACACTTAATGGGTTAAAACAGAAACACTGATTTTCAAAAAATTTTTCTTTTGACATGATCAGCTCTAATACAAAATTTGATTTGACAGGAGCCATCACTGTAACACATCAACTTTGAATTTTTCTGTGCTGCCAGTCCTTGCTCATATGTAGTTATAATTTGAAAATACCACTATTTTTGTGATTATGAAAATAATATAATTTCCTATTTTAAAAACCACAGAAATATGTAAATATAAAATGAAAGCCATTCTCAGTTCTAGTCCACCCCCAGAGATAAGTACTGGTAACAATTTATAAATATATATTTTCATAATCACCGTCAAAACACAGATATGATTTATTTTCACTTAGTAATATCTCTTAACCATTTTTATATGCTTACAAAATATTTGTAATTAAAGTTTT